AGATCCAGTGTTCAGAGATATTTTAGCTTCATTCTGGAGGAAGTGGAGACGTGATGTCATCGATATTTGAACACTTTAGTTTCATCGAGGGACAAACTGAAATATGAGACATGGACATTAAACAACATGAGACATGAAGTTCCTGTTACTCTGCAAACATGTGTCAAGGTTCAGTGCTCCATGTTTCTGTATGTATACTGTATATGTGTATTTGTATATGTATACTGTATATGTGTGTTTGTATATGTGTGTTTGTATATGTGTGTTTGTATATGTATTTGTATAGGTATATGTGGATGTGTGTGTTTGTATATTTGTGTGTGTGTGTTTCTGTGTGTCTGTATGTATAGGTATATGTGTGTGTGTGTGTCTGTCAGTGTGTGTGTGTGTGTGTGTGTGTGTGTAAGGTGGGACGTCTGGCTTCCTTGAGCTGCACCTAGATTGATGTTGTGGGCGTGTCTCTGGACGTTTGTCTAATCTATAATGATTTGATTGGCTGATGAATGAAGACATTCAGAGCGAGACAGAATTAAAAAGGTCTGATATTCAGACATCACACCCAGTGAGAGTGAACCGTACATGATGTATAGTATAGAACTGACTGACACACTCATCTGACGTCAGTGGAAATCTAACGCTCTGTGTTTTTCTGCTGAGGAGGAAACGTCTCCGAGCCATGAGACGAGTCGTGAATTTAAACACGAGAAAGAAAACAACTTGTTCTTCAGGCTGTTTACAGAACTTGAACTATACAGGATGTGAAGAGCAAACAAACTGCTTCATGTTCAACCAGCTAATGTTCCATCACTACCATCTGACGTCAGACGCCTCACCACACCTTCATGGTGGGCGTGTGATCGAGTGCGGTGATTTGATCCGTCAGGTTGAGCCACGTTTAGACAACAGTTTTGAAAACTGTATGTTTGACACGAGCTGGACAGAAGAAACACGTCTGTCATGTTGGAGCCGTGTTCTATCGGACTGGGAGGAGCTTCGTGTGCGATCGTCAGAAAACTACGGCCACCTTCTCTCCATCAGAGCCTCTTCTGTCATGGCCGCTGATGGTGGCTCAAGATTATCTCTGGAGTTTATATCTACACAACATCTACACAGACACACACGTGTGAGGTTTTTATTAGTCAAACTGTGATAGTTTAAATATGAGAAACTAAAATCACAAAGAATCATCAAACTGAC